GAGAGGGGGAAGAGAAAGAGAGAGAGGGAAGAGAAAGAGAGGGAAGAGAGAGAGAATATATTTATAATGTGAGGAAACAAAAAATATGGGAATATATATATTTTAAAAAAATCATATTAGTGGTCCGCAGGATTTAAAATTATGAATTTAGTGGTCCGAAAGGTTGCCGACCGCAGCTCTATGCAGTCTTGACTCTTACTGCTACTGTGCAAGTGTGGTTCCATGTAAATCTCATATAGTAGTGCTTATGAGTCAGACGCTTCATAATACTGCCCCCTACAGGCTTGTATGGTAGACACTAGGCATGACGGGGGCATCACTTCATGTCCCTACTAGGGCTCGGCTTCCTTCCTAGTAAAGTTATGTTTAAGCTGAGCCCAAGAGGCTAAATAAACGCGACCCGCCATTGTTGTAGTTAATAGACCCCCGATGTCTCCATAAAGAGTACCTAGCACCTGCCCAATGTTAACACAGGGGAAAGTTCAGCCCAAAAATCGGGGAGTATATTTTATTTATTTATTACAGCTATTTATATCACGCCGACAATTTACGCAGCACTTTACATAGTTGCACATTCGCATCAGTCCTTACAATCAAGGAGCTTACAATCTAAGGTCCCTATCTCACATACGAAGGCCAATTTAGAGAGGCGCTAATTAACCACTTGCCGTCCACCCGTTGTAAAAAAACAGACGGACGGCACTGCAGCATTGGCGGGTTGCCGTCTCCGGACGGCATTTTTTTTCTGCTCGCGGGCGTGCACGGGCAGAAAAGACGCGATCAATGCAAACACCCGTTACCGGGTGTTTCACATATAGACGATCGGCGGCTCCATAGCTCCTTGCTGACCTCCCTCCGGGCTGTGAATGCAGAAGTAATGTGTATTACATCCGCATTCACCTGTCAGTCATCTGGCTGCTATAGCCAGAGAAAAGAAGCTGATAAAGCAGATCTCTGCTTCATCAGCATCTTTTGGGGTCCCCAGGTGACATTAGGGGTCCTAGAGACCCCTAATGTCTCCATAAAGAGGACCTGTCAGTGAACCTGTGCTATTATATAAGGGGATTGTTATCCTCTATGTAATAGCAATAACTAAGTGCAAAAATATATATAAATAAAAAAGTAAAATATAATAAAAGTCACATTTTAAAAAAAACCCCAAAATGTTTAACTCCCCCACCCCCACGTTTACGCAGATATAAACGTAAATACGCGTCCTGCGCTAAAACGACAATTGCGCTACACACGTTACATATCGCCGCGAACGTCGCAGTGAGAGCGATCATTTTAGGGCCATCAATCACTGATAACACTAAACTGATGAGCGGTAACAGCTTTTAAAGAGTCGACTATGGCCAATTTGGGGTATTATCATTTTTTTGAGGTTTCGCGCGCGCACGCAATTTTAAGGCTTGACATGTTTGGTGTCTTTTTACCCGACGTGACCCGGTCTTTTATATTTTACCAAAAAATTGGGTAATAATAAATGTTTTAGAATTTAATATAGGGGAAACTGTTTTTTTTTTTCTACATTTCGGTGATTTTTCCTTAATATAGTAACAAAAATAACCCCCCCCAGTGGTGAATAAATACCACCAAAAGAAAGCTCTATCTGTCCCTAAAAAATGATATAAAATGAATTTCAGTACAGCGCTGCATGACGGAATAAATGTCAGTCAAAGTACCACAACGCTGAATACTGAAAAATGGCCTGGCCAGGAAGGGGGTTTAACACCGCGGATGTCAACTGGTTAACCTTCCAGCATGTCTTTGGATGGCGGGAGGAAACCGGAGTACCCGGAGGAAACCCACACAAGCACCGGGAGAACATGCAAACCAGGGACCCCCAGTACTGCAAGGCAGAAGCGCTAACCACTACACCACTGTGCTGCGTATATTGTGTGCAGTAAAATTCCCTTTAGCGCAATCTGTACTATAAATACACACCGCCCGGCCAAAAAAAGCCAAACGGCCTAATATCCTGTTGAACCGCCTTTAGCTTTGATTACGTCACGCATTCGCCGCGGCATCATTTCCATAACCTTATACAATGTCACAATGTTTCCTTCCCCCCAGAGCTGCATTCATTTTTCACCAGGATCTTGTAGTGATGGGAGAGTCGGGGCGCAGTGTAAAGTCTTCTCCAGAACATCCCAAAGATTCTCCATGGGGTCCAGGTCTGGACTCTGTGGCGGCCAATCCATGTGTGACAATGACGTCTCATGCTCCCTGAACCACTCTTTCACAATCTGAGCCCGATGAGTCCCGGCATTGTCATCTGGGAATATGCCCAATGTGCCATCAGGGAAGAAGAAAGCCATTGATGAAAAAACCTGATCATTCCGTATATTCAGGTGGCAGCTGACCTCATTATTTGGGGACATAATGTTGCTGAACCCAGACCTGACCAACTGCAGCCACCCCAGATCATAGCACTGTCCCTTAAAGCTTGTACGGTAGACACTAGGTATGATGGGTGCATGACTTCATCCATCCCTCTTCCTACCCTGATGCCCCCCACACTCTGGAACAGGGTAAATCTGGACTCATCACATGACCTTTTCCCATTGCTCCAGAGTCCAATCTTTATGCTCCCTAGCAAATTGAAGCCTTTTTTTTCTGATTAGTCTCACTGATGAGGTTTTCTTAAGGCTTCACAACAGGTTATAGGAGAACTATGAGGGGGAGGGGGGTGCTTTCCACTCACCTCATAGTTCTAGCCGACTTGTGTCAATGAGACTGTCACAGGTCGGCTCAGTAGATCGGGAGGTGAGGGAACACATACTGGCGTTCGCTCACCTCTCTATCCTGTCACGGCTCTCTGCCGTGACAGGGGGAGGGGCTGGATTCCCCTCTCCCCGCTCCGATCTGCCAGCGCTGACTGGCGGAACGGACGGGGGAGGGGGCGGGTACAGCTGGCTCTGCCTCTAGATAGGCAGAGCCAGCTGTCACTCACGCAGCTGGGCGGATCTCGACATCGATGTCGGGATCCGCTCCGGCGTCTCAGTATACCGCGAGCTGTAGCTCCCTATATACTGAGCTTTGGGTGACGGGAGGACGCTAGTTTGTGTGCTCCCGTTACCCTAAGGAGAACTATGGGGAAAAACACTGACCCCCATAGTTCTCCTTTAATCCCTATCCCTCGAGTTCTCTGCGCATTGTGCATGTGAAAACGCTTTACCTTTCACCATTAAACATATCCGCGACTTCTTCTGTTGATCTTTTTTATTATTTGATTTCACCAAAACGTTTAGTGATCTCCGATGCTTCAAAAAAACATTTCTCCAACCACGTCTTCCTCCAAGATAATGGTTCGCCGCCATCCTTCCTTGAAGTTGATGGTTCACCCAGCGGTGTATTTAGGTTTTGTGCTGCTCTAAGCAAGACTAAACTCGGGCACCCCCCCCCCCAATTTTGCTTATCATGTCAGAAGCTGGATACAGCAAGCCCCTGCTTAAAATAGTAACAGGTGCACACTGTATCACTTCTGCCAGCATCGGAGAGAGGAGGTTGAGCTTGTCAGTGTATTTGGGCAAGGATAAATTATTTCTTTTTTCCTCTTAATGGCAGGACGCTCGTTTGTGTCCTCCCGTTACCCTAAGGAGAACTATGGGGAAAAGCCTTAACCCCATAGTTCTCCTTTAATGGCAGAGACAGGAGGGTGGTATCTAGGCAATACTTCTAAGATTAGGCAAGTCATGCTCTTAGTAACAATGAAAGCAGTTTCGAAGGGCGCACTGATGAGGGCTTTCTGATGAAATAAAAAGTATCGGCATGCATCTTGCAGTGACTTTTAAAGCTGATCTTGGGGCAAGTATAACGCTATGGCTTGGAATGGATGCACCAGCCTTGGAGGCCAGTGCATCCACCATCAGCCACCCATAACAGAGCGCAGCTTGGTGTGCCGGACTACCACAGACCAAGGATACCACCCGCAGGCCCGTAAAATGCCCAGGTCTGCACTATAGTAATGTCAGGTCAGTAATATAGAGAACAATGCTTCACTTTGTGGCCCTGCCCCCAACGAAAAGGTCACCAGCTGCCTAACTTCACAGTGCATGCATGTGCCGTGGCCGCCATTCATTCCCATAGGTTGGCTGTATTCCACTGGATAGCCGTAAAATGGGTCAGCAATAGGAATAAACAGGACCATGGCGCATATGTATACCATGAAGACAGGTCAGCAGGAAAACATTTTGGGCTAGAAAGGCTTTGGGAAGCCTGGCAGGGCCACACAGTGAAGATCGCCTGTTAAATCAGAGCCACAAGGCATGGCGAGTCCATAATTTGGGGAAACCACATCAATACTGGTGACTAGTTCTTTGTCCTTGACTTTTCTTGGGCACAGCTTTCAGTTCCTCTTGAAGGAGATCTAAAACTCATCATTCAATTTCCAGGACCTTAATAAGGAAATCTGTTCCTAAACAGCATAGCTCCTCCCCTTCTCCATCCATAATGGATTTCACTTGGCTCATGGCTGAGGAGTAGCGCCGTGCCGCGCCTGCACCATTCCCAAAAAAAGTCCTTTGTTCCCTAAGTGTTAAAGGAAAAACTTTCCATTCACGGCTGCTCATCATCTTGGTGTACACCCGAAATATAATAGGAAGGCCAGTTGTTCTGCTTTGTACCCAGTCATCTGAAAAGTGTGAAGAGTCCAATGACGTGTACGTACCTGGCGCCAGCGATAAGTCCGGCCGGCATGAGCTTTCCAGAGTTGTAAAACCTGTAACCCATAACGCCAGCCAACGTGCCGGAAGCAACTGGAATACAGAAAACGGGCAAGACCTTTAATTTGTAGCCAATGCAATAGTAGACATTACAATTTAAGAAGCGCATGACCAAGCACTTTAATAAAGAAATGATAAAACATAATTCACTTCTACAATGCAGGTCAGCCTGGACTACAAGTCCCATCATGCCTTATGCTTCTCCTAGCTGTGGTCAGTCTGAGAGCCTCCATTAATCAAGGCAGCTGTGGGTAGTACAGAGGAAGTATGTGTACAGCTGTATATGGAGGCACACGAGTCCTCAGTGGGAGCACCCTTCCTAAGGTGACAATGCTGCTCCTTCCCAGGGAGACCCATCACCCGAGGGCAGGACATTCTACATGAGCAGATCTTATGGTGTACTGAAAGGAAATAACGGCAGCAATGAAACTTGTACAGTGAAAGCCAAATCATTTATGGGGGGCTGGGGGG